CTTTATTATAATTGTTCACGTAACAGTTTTCTATTTTTTTTTATCCTTATTTTTATCAGCTTCTGTCTAGATATATTTTTAGCATTTCTATATCTATACTTCCTACCAATCAGAATAGATGCTACCAACAATTAAGACCAAACAAAATAGAAAATCCTAATGTGATCAATTATAATAGAATGTCCAAACATATTCTTCAATTACTTTATCACATCCCTAAAGTGCTCTAATCCTGTGTTCCTACAGATGCATTTTCTATACCTTAATGATTAAATCCATGTAAATATATCTATATACATTTATCTCATCATTAAACTATAGAAATATCTGTATGAACACAGTGTGGTATCACTTTATTTCTTTGTTCTCATTTTACATTCTATACAGACCTTCACCTATTACTGTTCATGAAAGCCTTTGCTGGAGAGTAATGATGCAAATAATTGAGAAATCCTTCATGAACAGTACATATCTGACTTTTACTGAAAAGTTACCTCTATGTGGTGCCTCATTTATTAGATGGCATATGTGTTCCTTGCACAATTATGGTTTAACAGATTAAATAATAGTGATTCTGCGTGTTTGCAGCATCGGTGCAAGTTCTCATATAGAAAACTGTGAGAAAGCGCCTACACGATTTAAGGATTGTACAGCTATGTGTGATCACATACAGCTGTGATAGTGTAATGAAAAACATGAAACATAGACATAAAGGATTAATCTATAATCTATTAATTAATCTATAAAGTGACCAGATCTTCTAGTATACACACATTATTACACTCACAAAATTTTCTGTGCTAACAAGATGCTGATCCAAATGTCACAAGATATAATAAAGGAGCAGGAGCTCTCATAAGAAAAATATCTTGAGATTTTACACAAACATTTTTCTTACTTATGATATAGTGCATGTTCCCCCTGTTATATTATGATTTCAAGTATCATATCAAACAATGTAACAACCTACTGTGCAAAACCAGAATGCACGGTGTGATGTGATAATGTAAATCTCAGAGCATTCTTAAAGAGCGTCAAAACAACTTAATGAAGCAGTTTTGGTGTATGGATTGTGCCCATGCAGTCACACTGCTCAATTATCTGCCATTTAAGAGTTAAATCACTTTGTTATTCAGCCTTTATATATATATATATATATATATATATATATATATATATATATATTTATTTATTTTTTATTCCAAAAGATCCTTGCACTCACGCTTAAACTACAGTAGCCGGGTGCTTGAAGTCCAGGGGCAAATATATAGCCAGGATAAGAGGATGACCAGCACTCACAGACTTTTAGAAGTTAAAAATATATTCATTATTGCAGTATCATTAAAAGAGGATCAACGTTTCAGTCCCCGTCCGGGACTTTCATCAGGATCAGGTGAGTTGCCAAGAAAGAAGCTGGTTTGTCTCTTCCTTGAGGTTTCATAGGATACCGCTATTAATTCTCCTTAATAGAGTAATTACTAATATGAGTATTGCCAGAGGACTAGATAGAATGAATATCATATTGTAACCAGATACAAGTGCAATATATCTTGCATACGCTACCAAAGATGAGTTCTAGCAACTAGTGGAGTAGTAAGTGGTGCAGACCCAAAAGAAGACCCTGGACGATAGCGTGCCTGAACTGTTGCGCCTTCGGTAACAGATGCCAGGGTCGTGTTGTTACAGGAGGTAAATGATCTGATGTGTGATGCTAAGCTAACTAAAAACATTAAACAACTATGTACTAGTAAAGTAGCACCCAAGTATGTGAAACAAATATCACATAGGAGTAACTTATTTGGGAGCTGTATCTGTCACTATCCGCTGCTGTATGACTGAAGTGCCCTGTCCAAGTGTTTACTCTAGCACATAGATTTTCCAGACTAACTCTTGTCAATGATGGGAAAAAATATTATATTTTAATTCAAACACTTATCCAAGCACCAGAACAGCGTGTAGCACTGTATTGCTAGTATAGCACCACGATAAGTGAGCTGAAGTATTCCTGGTGATTCAATAGTTCCTCAGATAGTGCCTGGCAGAGCAGGGTTTAGCTCATTAACTTACAAATGATTGGATGTTCTTAGTGTAGCGGAGTGCTGGTCTCTCACAGACTATCTCCGCTGGTAATCCAAGTGAGGCTCAGGAACAAGTAATAAAACCCAAGAGAATAGTATCCACGGTTAGTAAAGTAATCCAAAAGTATCCCATAGGTTTTCCAATGACTGGACGACACACAGCATCCGGAACAGAACTGAAGTTTATTCACACACTTCAGCTTTTAAGGAATTCTCCCATGCAAGGGAGACACCCACAATAATTGTACAGTACACCAATCATACATGAGTTACCACCCACACATCTCCTCCCCTCAGTTTGACACATCCCATTATGCAGGACACATTTCTCCCCGTTTTCTGTATGTACCCCCAATACTGAAGATACACCTTTAAATCTTACACCCCCTGATAGCCTTGATCTGGATGAGCAACATACTCCAAAATCACCCAGATCAGATCAGGGGTTCGGGAGTTACAGGGGTATGTTCGTATGACCGAATGCACAGGAGTGAGTAGCTGAAATTAGATCCACTCGTTTTGGCCTTGCGGTAGGTCTACTTTCAGAGGGTGAAATTAACGAAAATGCTGGGGTATATGGCTTGGGCTTTGGTTCGGATAAATTCCCTTGTTCGTTGGTTTATTTCTAACGTGGGCCGTTCAGTAGTTTCCATACGAACTGATGGAAGTCTGAAGGTCTCGCGTAGTCAAGTGTCCGATTTGTCCAGACACTCGACGACCAAACACCGCTGATCGGCAAGATGGCCGCCGCCACGTGTTTGCATGCCGATTGAGGCCACCTAGAAACACATAATACATTCGTCTAATTGCTAATGATGTGGTTATGTGGGAGGTAAATGCGGGGCACACTTCACTCTGGGGAGGTCTGGTTGTTCGGTAGTTTGTATGTCGAAAGGAGGAGTTTTTACCGAACAACCAGACGAATGCTACATACAGTGAACAGTTACACAGGGAATACAGCTGAAATAACATTGTAACAATAAAACTGTTGGGACAGCCCAATGCAATCCGCTACACTTAGCTAATGAGCTAAGCCCTACACACAGCAGATCTTGGCTGTAGAGAGCAAATGTAAGCTTCATGTAGGAGTTTTCCTTAACTTCTTACTTATACCAAGTAACATACCTACCTATCACCAGGGCTCCTGAAGGATATGTGCCTGGGATTGGTAGTGGTTGTGGTTGTTGACTTCTTCAAATGTAGTGTAGCCAGTTACTACACTGAACTAACACAAAGTGACTGGTAGTCTTCTGCAACTTGTCAAGCTGTTAGCAAATGGTTTATCTTAATAACTATAAATAACTATAAACAGTACAACTATACTGATATAGTTGTGTGCAAGGGCACCACTGGCATCACAACCTCTCACTGAGTGATGTAGTAGTTATAGCATCTTTGGAAAAAAATGTACTTATTCAAACCAAAATACGGCAAAATCCTGAAATGTTTAGTGTACAGCAGCAATGAACGGTCAGTTTAATCTTCTTCCTCTTTCCTCTACAATCCATCAGTCTTCTATTCTTACTTTCAGCTATACCAGAGTCCTGCAGCCAACAGACACAGGACATGAGTTAGGTAGTGGATTTTAACATGATAAAAACACACAAGTATTATTATGGCGCTGGATTATAAAACAACAATAGTTACTAATAAGCAGCACCATATACAGTGAAAAAGCTCAATCAGCTATATTAAGACAATATAAAAGATAAAGTGCGCTGTGCCTTTAAAACACAAAATAATTTTTAAACAGTGAAGACAATTAGTGCAATATTGTACAGATAAAGTGATCAAGTGCATCAATGTGCAACACACTTACAAATATATAAATATGAATATACAAAATGTGCAAAATATCTTTTTGTGCAATAGGAAACCAATACTTAACTTTCCCAGTTATGGAATTTGCTTTAAAGCTTCTGTCAGCAATCCAATATGTGTCTCAAAAAGAGAAGGGAAAATGCACAATCATAGGACAATATGTTAAAATATAAATATTAAGAAAATATGAACCAAAACACTCACAAGGGTAGAGCAATTAAGTCTGCTCTAAACTTTGATGGCTTCTCATGCAATGATGCAGGCTGGAAACTGTGGTGAAGTTGAAATCCTTTATTGACTACTGATCTATAGAGCTTGTACTTATTTGTTTAGGGAGTAACATTTGTGTCAAATTAAACCATTTCTGATCCCTGTCCAGTCAATTGTTTAGTAGAGATGCCCCTTACACCCTGCTTTAATAAATTATTTTTCCGTGATAAGCAGTAAATACAGGTTGTAAGATTATCACACATCCACTTTTTATACGGGATCAACCCATAAAAGTAATACTTGCCATAATTGAAAAAAAATTTTTTATTTTTTTTGCCGTGCATAGATATATAACAACAAGCGAGAGGTACCCCAACGACAGTCCTCACGCTGAATTTCAACAGTATAACAGCGGGGTAGACTAGATTACTAGCACATTTTTGTTATTTAGGATGATAGACATGTAGACATTTAACGACAGAGGTACAAATAGTGTGTATTCTTAGCTGTGCATAACAGGTTCAACAGTATCCTGACAGTTCGGTGTGGTGCTTACTGGTTCAAGCTTATACTCAGTAGTGTGGGACATGGTTAATGAGCCCACATGGGAGGGTAATATTGGTGGCCAGAGATGCATATAGCGGTATATTTGCATCGGGCAAATTATAGGGTTTGTCAGATTTGCTTGAATTAAAGTGTGTGGTGAAGAGAGTGATGGATAGGGAGCTGAAGGCACCTTACAAGATTGGTCAGCGGGGTATAATGCAGAGCCTTATTTAGGGCTGTAAGTGAAAGGTATTACTTGAGCTTACGTATGTGTCTGGCTACTGGTTATTGCCTGGTAGCTTAGAGTAAAACAAAATAAAATAAAATGGTTGTGGCAATTGACTTTCAACAGCTTATGTCAGTGTGGGTGTGCATCAGGTCGAGCCCGTTCAGTAGCTGTGCTGTGAGGCCGGGGTTTACCTGTGGGTGCCGTCTATGCGGGTGGGTGGCCACGCAGATGTGGCGTGTAGTGGAGTATCTGCTTCCAGCTCGCTCTTGGGGTACAGCCGCGCCACTGTTGGCCTGACGTCCGCCCATCTTCAGTTTAATACCATGCTTATGGTTCCCTTTGGAAGTCCGCTGCTGCTGTGTAGAGCCGTGGTGTCTCACAGGTGAGTTTTCTCCCCTGCCCCAGGACCGTGTGTGGGCTGGTGCTCGTAGGCCATGAGCCTGGGAACCATTGAGGCCCAGGGTCGGTCCTGTCGGGGTAGTGCGGAGAGTCTTCGCTGTCTGTGTGGGGAGTCGCTTCAGTGTACTAAGCGGGTGTGGCCGGAACCTTGGGGGTATGACCCCTGTTGCCCTCAGCCCGGGAGGGCCTTGGATGCTGGAGCCTGTAGTGTGGGGTTTAGGTTTGCCCTGAGGAGGGTCCCCAGCCGCCCGACTGCCGTCGACTCTATCTCGTTGAAGCCGTGGGTGGTGAGGTCTCTCTGGGTGTAAGAGCGCCTGCAGTCTGGCCCAGAAGTGATCCAATATTGCCTTGATGGGGTCTCTAGCATAGTCCCCTGTGTCTGTTTCATCGCCATAACACCGTCTGTTGTCCGGCACTGTCAGGACCTGAGAGTCCGCCATCTTTGAGGCCCGGGACTCTAGATTGTTTCGGAGAGTTGCTGAGCCTGTCGTTTGGTGTGGGTTCCAGGACCCTCCGCCTGGCGGGGACCGGGATATCCACCAGTCCATAGGGGGGGTGCGCTTTTCGTGGTAACTTGTGGCATTTAGCATTTGGCGGGAAGGCTTCCGTCCTTCCCCTGTGTCCCCGTCAGTAGGCCCTGGTCTGCAGCTGCTGTTCCCGGTCGCACCAGGTGACGAGTATGGTGTTGGCATGTTCAGGACTGCTTCCCCGTTCCAGTGGGCCGGTTTGTTAGCAAGTCACCTTGAGTTATTTGCAAGGTTAGGGCTCTAACTGCGGGAGCTCATGCAGAGTGCGTCTATTCAGGTTGCTGGTTCGGCTCCGCCCCCTTGCCATAATTTTTAATATAGCAAGGTGTTTAAAATAATAATTTTTACATATTAAAACATAGAAGCACAAGTACTTAACAATACTTGACAGTTTACACAAGTTAATTGAATAAATGTCTCTGTTTGGTTCTCTTTATTGGAGATCTTTTTACTTTGTATATAAACTCTCACCTGAAGAGAAAAGCGTTTTATTGTCTTTTACGTCATGAAGACAGATAGGAATAGAGGAAAGTCACTGGTTTTGAAGAGTTAGTAATTAAGAGCTAACTTCAGGGGTGGTTACCACTTGGCAGCAAAGAACTTGACAACTCATGGTCCAACACTTGGTAGGAGTTTTTTTTGGTTTTTTTCCTTTCTTTAGTAGGGCCATGTAATGTGTCCTTGCCTGGTATTTACTTCACTCTATCCCACACAAACAGAGAATGAAGAGCAAGCCCTTCATTGCCCAACCCATAAGTTCATCTTGTGACCAAGTTATTTTTTTTATTCTTTTATCCACTGTGCCTGTTTAAGAGAGCAGATAGTCATAACATATGTTCCATGCTAGCAATTTGTATTTTGCTGAAAAAATCTCAAGAATAAGCCCTGCATTTTAGTAAATGAACCCTATAGTCATTACCAAATATAAATGGACTGTACTTGTCTATCTGTAAAACTGCCTGAAGACATTTTAATGAATGTTGAATACTTTCTAAAAAAAAAAAAATTGTAGATTCATTTCCTGGTCTTGCTTTTCTATAAATCATAAGTCCTTTTAAGTGCTTAATTACATTTTAAAAAGCTTAATGTTGTTTTTTGACAAGGAAAATATAATTGCTTAACTAATGGGAACTACATAATTAGTGATTCATAGAATGCTAGCTTTAAATTAATGTTATTCTATGTAATCCTAGTTAGATATATTTGATTTAAGGAAATAAATGTTAGTAATGATTATTTTTAAGGAAAGATTTTTCAAATACACTAAAATATCACGTGTGGAACACGTACAAACATTACTTTTGACAGAGGCTGTAATTTAATTTGATAGCCATCTATTTAAATGGCAGGTGTGAAGATGGGGTGGTGGGCATTTTTCCCTGAGAAAGGGACTTTGTTCCCTAGATCATTGCGATACATATCCTGGATTAATAATGCTAAATCTACTTAACTATTCACATGGTTAAAATGCAGACTTTTCAGAGCATAGCTAGGTTTTCTAAATGATTGTAATGATGGTGGAAATATCAGCCTCTTTAGGGAGATTAGTGAACAGGATTATTAACTGTAAATGCAAAAAGATTTAGACAAACAGCAGATTTATACAAATATATGTTACCCAGTTTCCATGTTTTCTCTTGAAATGACTAATTTCATTGAACTTTCAATCACTTTGAGAAAGTAGGACTTTTAATACTCTCATGTCTTTCAGTTGCAGCATGTTTAAGCAGATTATATACAGGGTTATTTCCTAAAGTGAGAATTCAAAGTAAATTTCAAATTTAAGGCCAGAGTAGCCAAAGGAAGGCTAAGGAAACCCATTCAGTGCTAAACTGCTCAAAATGGTTTAACACTGAACAGAGGGACAGTGCCAGGGCACTCCAGACACTATAACCAATGCAATTAGATAAAATGGTTATTGTGCCTACAGTGTCCCTTTTATCTCTGTATGTGTTGTGAAAATTGAAACACTAAGCATACAAACTTCAGGCACCATGACCACTGGACCAGATAAGTGACGGAAGTGGTTATTAAACCCTTCAGCACTGTCGGAGGGGTCCTTGACAGAGAGGAAGCTATAGTGCCAGGAAAACAAGTTTCTTTTCCTGGCACTATAGTTTCCCTTTAAGCTAGGATGGTGATCTTTCTCACAGACTGAGCACTCACTCAATGTGTATGTGAGGCTTCTCATAGATAAACATTGTCAGCACAGAGTGGCAATTGCCACTCATGTGCATTGCCTCCCATTGCTTTTCTGTAAGAAGGATTGGATGAGAGATCAGCACAAGTAATTATCTCCCATGACGGAGCTTAGCTTTGGTGAAGAGACCCTGAAGTAATCTAAATACAGATTATGACCATCTGGTGCTAAAAATGTATATTTAGATCAGGTCAGATGCTATGACTACAGTGGTATACACCAACTAGCACAGGGTTCCAAAATGTTCAATCTTTCCATGTGAGAAGGAAGAGAATGAACCATTAGACAGCTTAGTTTTCAGACTGAATGTCGCTCCCCCTTCATTTTTTTCACTTTGATTGGGAAGAAACGTTGTATGCCAGAAGTACATAAAGATTAAACAGGAATGTTATACAGCATGGAGTCAAACTAGTTAGATTAATCAGTTTGTTTTCCATCTGGTAGCCCTTATTACAAAACAAAAAAACTACAATTCTACCTTTTTTGGTAGAAAGCTATTGGTTAAAAGCAATGGCGAATCTCAATATATTTACCCATAAAATGGGAATTCTGGAATATCAGTGGGTTCCTTTAAAAGTTCTGGAATCTTTTGACTCTACAGCAGGGAAGATGAAAGGTGCATTCTAAAATATAAAGGTTTACATGAGAAACACACTTTTAAAGGTGAAGAAACCTTCTAGGAAGAAAATCTTTTTTATAGAACGTTATTGTAAGCTTATTTAAGTAAGGCATTCTTGCCTCCTGTCTCTGACTAGTTGACATACAAAATATTAACCATTATCTTTATTATGATTATAAAGAGCTGCAGAATATGTTGTGGGTATGTACATAATGATAATAATGTTAATGGAGGAACAGTTCCAAAACCTAATATTTAATATAATTAATATTAGCTATTAACTATAGAGTAGGTGATTAGTTTATTCATATTATTAATAGAAATAATTAGATACAACTTTCAAAATCTATTTTATTGCTCATTGATCTTTAGCACATCTACTTCTCCACTTGTCACAAATGATTATGTTCCATCTTTTCTCTTTTTATTTATAGAAATGTTACTCCTCTTAAACCTGTAAAATTGACAATGCTTGTGTCAATGTTAATTATGTTAGATTTAGACAGTTGTCAAGCCATGGCATTTTGTCTGTTGCTGTCAATCATTATAAATAAAATAGATATGAATGTCCAAGGTGACTTTTTGGGAGCCTTAACAAAGTGAGCGATGAACGGAAGTAAATGAATTTCGAATCATTTTTTATTATTTTAACATGCACCTGCAGCAGATGGCGTCTATTTTATGTGCTCTTCTTATTTTGCTACAAGGAATTTAAGTCCCAGTTGTCAGGCCATAAGCACTGACCGTGAATGCTAAAACACACATGCAGCCTTGCCAATGGCATAGACACTTCCTATAGTATTGTCTTACTGCAGTCAACATGACTCAACTTAACCCTTTACCCTTTGTTGTTTTCAAAATGTCACTGTTACTCACCAAATGCAAGATATTTTTTCTTACATCTGTTGTTGGCGTAGCTTCTGGCTGTCAAATAACATCGCCAGTGAAACATTTTTTCATTTATCTGTGAAAATTACCAGTGCTTTAAAAATAACATAATGAACGTTTTTTTTTTTTTTTTACCTATATGAAAATAAAGAGCATTAAAAATAATATAAACAGCTGGTGATTTTGAATTAAATGGAATAATGTGTGCAAGTTAAATTGCAACTTCCAAACTGTGATGATGTAGATAAGGCAAAGGAACCTATCGGCTAAAGCCTTCAACCGTATGTCATGTCATTTTATGCCCCACAAAAATCAGATGGTATGCGAGAGACACAGATATACAAAGAGATTTGTCCTGTAATGGATTGCGGTTAAGTTTAAAATCGATGGTGACAGTACCCACTATTTTCTTCAAAATAGGTTCACAGGCTATAAAGATTCTAAAACAGGAAATGTCACATTTAGTTCTGGACAAATAAGATATAACTTAAGCGTATTATGTTCAGCACAGTCGTAGTACTAAATTGGACACTCACAAAATAAGAACAAGGCTTTGTGACTTCTACAAAACAAATAACTGCAGCTTCTGCTATTTCTTTTTACATTTAGATAGATGAAAGAAAAGATGATTAAACTATTCTACCTCTTCTGAGCTAGAAAATGAACCAGATAAAACAGAGAATTATATATTACATCTCTATCTCTATTTTACACTCTCTATATCCTCAGTGTTTATTGCTTTTATTCCATCTTTTTCTCTCTTTTGTAAACTAGAAAAATTAAAGTGATTTTGATTAAAGGTGTGCTAAAGGCTGCCTGCATTATTATGGCAAAATTTACCCTCCTGTTACCATAAGAAACGGCTTGGAAATGCAATTATATTAAAATATATGATGTCTTTTTTTTTTTTTGAGCATAAATTGCTGCACAAATCAGAATCAGACATATATAATATAACCTTGATTTGGGGAGAGAAAACCTGCTATTTGGAACAGAAGACAAAAAGAGATAACCTTGAATCACCTTTTGTTTTTCATCAAAATCTATGATACAGTGCTATCGTATGTTGTTGAAGATCAATTTTTCTGATCCCCTATAGCCTATAATGATATACATCCTATAATGGTTATATAAAAAGACATCTCATGAAATAAAAGTGTGATGTCTTAACTATTTCATTCAGTTTTGAAAAGAATTTAAGACTTTTTCGAAATGCATCTAAATATATTTTGTAAAGCATTTTCTTCAAACTTAATATTACATATGACAAAGACAACATAGATATTCATCCTATATACTGATATTTCACTTCATAACACACAGATGATAATTATTTTATAAAGGCAAAGTGTAAACCATATTGAATAAGCTCAATGACTTAAAGGCATACTATAGTCACTCAGATCACTTCAAGTTGAGTGGTCTAGGTGCAGATTCCTTGTCAACTTAATCTGGCAATGTAATATATTATAAGGGTTTACCAAGAATTAAGTTACAACTTAATCATGTGACACAGAAGCTCCCACAAGAAAGCATTAAATCAATGTTTTCCTATGGGAAAGTTTGTGTGAATGTTGTCTGCCATACATGCGCATTAGGTCCCTAATGCTCCTGTACGAGGGGTATTAGATTGGACACTGGCAGAGAAGGCCAAATATGTGTATTTTATTGCAGTAAAAGCAAACAGTATTATGACATTGACAGTTAAAATGTCATGTAGAACAAAAAAAACAACAAATTTCTTATTTTCTCCCATTTTTTTCATATTAAATTATGTTTCATAGCTAAATATTTGATATTAAATGAAAGCCCTGTTCCACTGAATAAAATGATATATAATAAGGGTGGGTGCATTTAATATGAAAGAGGTGAATTACGGTTGGACAGACATGTAGCGCAAATGCCAGGTTTTGTTTACGTTTTGTTTTGTTCACAACGTGTACATTTGGCTCAGACCTTAACCCCATAAGGACGGGTGACGGACGAAGTCCGTCACAGAGGGGAGACCCTTAATGACGAGTGACGGACCTCGTCCGTCACGCGGTAAAATTAACCCCGGATCTCCGCTATCGCAGGGTTAATGGTCCTCCGGTATGCCTCTGCATTAGAGGCAGACCGGGAGCACCCGGTCAGGCTGCCCAGCACATGTGCTCGCTCTGACCGCAAGTCAGAGCGAGCACATGTGCTCTGTATACTCACCTTCCGCCTCCCTGCACTTCCTGGTTCTGTGTGAAGTGCAGGGAGCCGGAACAGTGCACATCCTGCCCCCTGCTGTAAAAAAAAAAAAAAGGTTACTTTAAAGACCCACCCCCTTTACCCATTTTAATAAAAAATTAACCCCTTCCTGCCAATTGATCACTGACTACAGTGATCAATTGGCAGGGATTACATTTTACTATGATCTGATTTTTTTTTTTTTAAACCCCTGAGGGTTAATTCTTTTTTTTAACCCTCAGGGGTTAAATTTATTTAATTAATTAAAATATTTTAAAATTATATATTTAGCCAGCTGGGGTGGGTGGAAGTTAGTGGGGAATTGGGGGATTTGGCATTAGGCTAACTAGGGGTTAACGTTAAAAGTTTTAAAATAAATTTTAAATAGTTCAAAATTAAGCTTAAAAAAAGTTTTAATAACGTTTAAGTAAAAAATACAAACCCCCCCCCCCTTTACCTAATAAAATTAACCCCTTCCCTGCCAGTCGATCACTGCCTACAGCGATCAAATACAGATCACAGTATTATACTGTGATGTAATTTTTTTTTAACCCCTTTTTAACTTTTATTTATTTTTAAACCCTCAGGGGTTCAATTTATTTATTTAATTTAAATATTTTACAACTATATATTTTGCTACCTGGGGTGGGTGGGAGTTATGGGAAAATGGGGAATTTACTGTTAGTGCTGCTTACTGCTAGTTAGGGGTTAACGGTAAAAAAAAAAAAAAGCTTAGAAAAATATTAAATCTGTAAAAAGTTTTAAGAAAGTTTAGGAAAGTTTAAAAAAATTAATAAGCAAAACAAAAGTTTAAAAACTAGTTTTTAAAAGTAAAAAAAATACATTTTAAAAACGCTCATTACCACTACACCTGGAACAAACTAGAGAAAAAATTATCCCACGCCAAGGTTCAAAATATGCCTTTTGAATTACCCCAGAGTGTATTCTTTAATAAATAGTATGTGTTTGTGGGGAAGTTTCAATAACCAGCCGTCTAAACTACTCCAAATTGGAACATGGACACAGCGTAAAACTTTGAAGTTAGAAAAAAACTGAATGGCTGCGTCTCAAATGCGCCCCTTCAACATCCACATATACCTGGCAAAGGTACAAATGGGGGTATTGCTGTACTCAGCCGACATAGCTGTGCAACATATGAAGTATTATACAGTCATAGCACACATAAGGTTTGCAAAATATACTGTGCAAACTCACTTTGTATGTCAAAAAGGCAGAAAAAACGCTTATTACCACTACATCTGGTACAAGCTAGCAGAAAAATGATCCCACGCTAAGGTTCAAAATATACCTTTTGAAACACCCT